GTAAAAAAGGTGAAAGGATTAGGCAAATTTAAAAAAAGAACTCATAGACATAGACAGACAGCAGTAGGGTGATTACCGGAGGGAAAGGGGGTGCGGGGCGGGGGAGAAGAAGGTAAAGGGGGGATAAATGGTGAGGAAGGAGACTTGACTTGGGATAGTGAACACACAATACAATATACACATGATGTATTACAGATTTGTACACGTAACACCTTGACAATTTTATTAACCAATATCACACAAAAAATTTCAATATAAATTATAAAAAAAAAAAAAAAAAAAGCGCCACCCTTAGAAATGAGGCTTCAGCTGAGAACTGAAAGATGGGCAGGAATTAGCAGACAAAGACCAGAACAAACCATACTCTAGGTAGAGAGCACACTATGCTAAGGCTCAGAACAGGGAGACAGCATGTTGACCAGGAGGCACTTACACTAGAAGGAAGGAGAAAATGAAGCTTTAGTCCAAAGCACAGTTCGTCTGCCAGGGAGTGGGTCAGCATGGGACAGTCTCAGGCTCCAGTCCTGAACATTCAAACGTCTGTCCAACAATTCCCCCAAGTCTTCATCGTATTTTGAGAAAAGGTGGCCTGCATCATTTTAACGGAAAGGGTCTTGTTTTTCGCGTCTTAAATGTATAGAACAGTATTGACACTACTGAACGTGTCAGAATTTTCACTTGTAACGTCTAGACCTGCATCAGCAGTGATGCCACATAATCCAACAGGTAAAAGTCCTGAAAAACAGCAAACTGGATTCAGACCCTGGCCCTGCAGCCTCCCGGCTGTGGGACTTGGGACAATTTGCTTAACCTTTCTGAGCTTCAGTTTCCTTCTGTAGAAAATGAGGGTGTGGCGCCGCTCTCTCAGGGCTGTTGTGAAGATAAATGAAACAATACGTAAATAAATTGCACCCAAGGCCTCCACTGCTAAGCATGCTGCTGTACTTTAGAACTGCACCAAGAGGGAGGTTATAACATTTTTAAAGGTCAGCAGAAATTGTTATGTTTAACCCCATTACCATGCTTCACATAGCTTAGCTATCTGCTTCGGCCTGTGGGAAGTCAAAATCTGACCTTAAGAACGGGCTGCCTTTTTAAAACAAAGATATAACACAGTAACTTTCACACTGTCACGAAGGTTCATGTTTGTGACATTTTGCCCTTATTAGGACACTAGGAAAGACTTCTAAATTCCTAGCCCGCGGAGGCCTTCGGTAACAGTAAACAAGATGACAGTCTCTTCATAATTTTTTAAGAGAAAAGGAAGATCGGTGACTGGCCACCGGAATGATGTCTAACTCGACACATGTCCCAAAGTAGCAAAACGGCTTCTAAACACACACCCATCTCCTTGCAGCAGGTGGAAAATGCACGTGTTTCTTTAGCGGGTGAACTTTCGGCTAGAACACGGGACGCTCCCTAAGGATTAAGATCTTGTTAATTTTTGCTTCTCCGTTCACTGTGGAGCACATCACTTTTTAAATATTAAATAATAATAAGTCCCTCGACACCCCGGAGAAGCACACCAACGAAACCCTTCCGGGGCTGCCAGCAGCCCTAGTGCACCCCATTGTTACCGTGTTAGACTTCAGACGATTTCCTGCCGGCAGGAATCTGCAGTTGTTTGTATACAGCAGGAGCCAGCTACCCAGCAAGTCCTACCACATTAGCTTTCCAGATGTCTCGATGGTTCCAACCCTCTTCGCCAAGAGTTGTATCATTTGGCAGCTTTAATTAGATCCCGAGTTACCATGGGAAAAGATTCACAATGTGTGTACCCAGAAAAATGACTCTTTTTAAATGCTTGTGTTGCACCCTTAGATACAAAAAGACTAGGAATCGGACGGTGCTAATCTCCACTCTGGGGACAGGCTGATGGTTGCTAACGGCCTATAATATCATTCTTCTGCATATTTCGGATTTCCACAGGAAGGGGTCCTCGGAGACCAGTGGGTACACAGCCGTGTTCTTCAATAGCAGGGGACGCATAGTCCAGGAACTGAGCAAATACTCTACCTTCTCAGGCACTGTATTCCTTGCTTTGTTGGGAGTCTCTATTATCTCATTTGCCTGCACTTTTTTTAAAAAAAAAAGAAGTTGGATAGCACTATAAAAGGAACATATAAAAATATAAAATAGTGCACATGCCTCGGTATTTTGGAGCTGTAATGCAGTCTCTATTATATTAAGAGGCATTGTTTTAATCTCCTCACATAGAGGCTCATTATTTAGTAATAATATTTTGTAATATAGCTAAAGTAGTGCTTTCTCCTAAATCTAATAAAATCAAATAATCCCAGGGCTGGAAAGATCATTTGAGGTCAATCCCCCACCTTCAGGCAAAAGGCAGCTCCGCATTTCAACCTCATTCGGAGGCTGTTCTGCAAGTACTGGATGAGACTTTTACTCTTAGGCGTCATCTTTAAGATAATTTTTTTATGCTTCCTTGTCCTGGTTATGGATGAAAATGTTTAATATTTAACATAGTAATAACACGAACAAAATGTCTTTGTACTAAACAAAACACAATGCCGACACGGTCACGGATCCTCCTGAATAATTTGCATTTGAGGACTGGGTGCAGGAGCAAGGGCAGGGAACACTGTGGGAGGCCCCTCCACTCCGAGCTGGTCCCCGATAGATCAGGGACCGTCTCCATGGTTATGGTCTGAGACACAAATATCCAGGGAAGTACGGAGGCTGTGGGATGCCTGGGAGCAATTAACTGATGATTTGGTGCTCCGGGCACCCGCTAAGAAGCCAAGAGACCCAGATGCTCGCTGACCATGGAAAATCCTGTTAAAGTGAAAATAGATATTTACTGTTTCCTCCTGGAGTTTAGTCTTGTCATTTGTTCAGAGCGGTTCATCCTTCTTGGGCACGATTTGCTGTGTTTCAGTTTGATGATCTTGGAATGTAGCTGTTCTCTTAGCATTTTCTTCTGGCTTAAAATTTTTTTTTTAAGTTTTCAAGGTTTCTGTTTGTTTGTCGTTATATTTTAAAATCATTTTCCTAAACTACCTCTAGTCTGCACATTAGTTTTCTCCGTGTTTTCCCGGATTTTATGAAAATGGTAACTAGCAACTTGACCATGGTTTAATTTTTTTCCACAAACCTTGTAAGACATCTATGCAAATAACCAAGGCCCGTGGATTTGAGTCAAGTCATCGCCTCTTAGAACTGAAAAGAACATGAAGTACCAGCTAATCGAATGCTCCCTTTCTACCAATCATAAAATCAAGGCCCAAAGATTAATTTTCTGAATCTAATTTATGACTTGGGCAAAACTGGGACCCTGATCTATTGATTTCTAATTTGGGATGTCTTCCTTCTCCCTTCTCCCTTAACAATTCATTGTAGGGGTTGACTATAATTATAGCACTTACGACCATCATTGTCCCTCACTGTAGCGGGCAGAATGCCGGTCCCTCCAAAATTCTACATCCTTATCCCCACAGCATTTGAACATGTTATGTTAACTGGCAAAGAAGAGTTAGTGCTGTCGGTGGAATTGGGGTTGCCAAGCAGTTGACCTTAAAATAGGGATATTATCCTGAATTGTCCAAGTAGGGGCACGGTAATGCCAGGGTCCTTGAAGCTGGAGGAGGAGGTCCGAGGACGTGATGTGAGGAGGACTCAGCTCCCGCTGCTGCTTTGGGAGGGAAGAGGGTCGCAGGGAGCAGAGCAAAGAGCCTGCAGCTGGGAAGGGCGAGAAGTCCGCTTCTCCCCTGGAGCCTCCAGAAGGGAACTCAGCCCTGCTGGTGCCCTGATTTCAGCCCAGAAGACCCGTGTAGGACTTCCAACCCACCCAGTGTAAAACCACCAGTCCGTGCCGCTGGCGGTCACTTAGGCAGCCGTGGAAACAAATGCACTAACAAAGAACATTTTCTTTCCATCGAGTGAATTTCAAAATCTGCTCCTTTTCCTTTAAAAAAAAAAAAAAATCTACCTAAGACAGCATTGGCCTTTTGCTAGGAAGCAAATATCATTTCGTATTAACGTATTGCAGCTTCCTTAAACAGACGCGAGTTCATGCCCAAGTTAACCCAGCGAAGGCACGTCTGTGCCCGCCCTCGCCAGAATGCCCTCGGGGCAGCCGGAGGGGACGCAGACTTTTGACGTGTGGCTGCAATTCTCAGTGTGTCACATAAAGCATTTCAAGGCTTCACTGTGGTTAACAGAAGTTTCTGCACACTGGCCTCTGTCCCTAATATTCACAGGGCTGTGATTAAGGACATTAATGCTCATACAATCGTGTCCCTTCAGAGCATCCTTTCCACTCAAAAGCAGCAAAGAGAAACCCAAGTCACAGACACACACCCTCAGGACTGCGCCTGATAATAGAAACTTTCACCTGAACAATCTTTTATGGGAATAAACAGGCCTCAAAGTCTCGACCACCAATGTGCGTATTACCTTGCTATCGAACCATCCTTAGATTGCTTTCAACTGTCGGAAGACAGGCAAGCGGAAACTGGGTCTTTAAACCCAGTATTCTTTTGTCTAATAAATCTTTAGCTTGTTAATATTTCTGAATTTCCACCCATCAAGATATTTTCCTCAAAACCATGAAGATCTCCGGTGACCACCTGTCCCAGTTTGGCGGGGGCTGGGTAGGTCCCTGGGACAAGGGGCTTTTAGTGCTAACACCAGGAAGAAAAGCCACAGACAGCGCTCCAGTGAGTTCTTCTGGGTGGTCCTGACCTAGGAAGCCCCTGATACCAGGGTAAAGCATTTTTCCAGGTCAGGGTGCTAGGACACCCAAACGTGAGGTTCGGGCCCAGGAAGAACCTGCCTTGCACTCTCCAGTGTCCTTCTCAGTGATGTAGTCGCCATGGGTGATCCTCAGCTCAGGCTGAAGGGCATGAGGAACAACCAGAGAACACATGTGACTGTGGCGAAGGCACCGTCCCTTCTCCCCAGGCAGCGCCTCTGGGAGCTGCCTGTGTTTACTGGGAAATACACGTACGTTCTCGATAAGCCCTTCTGGTTCCTTGCAGGGTCTTAATAAACAATCTGAGATCTACGCTGGAGGCTCAGTTCGACAGCCAGGTCCGTGCGGCCGGACACAGCTATGAGAAGTACAACAACTGGGAAACGGTATGACGCGCACATCGGTTGGGCGGGCGGGACCTGGGGAACTGAGCCATGAATGTCGCATTAACCGCATGGTTCCCCTCGGTAGATCGAGGCTTGGACCGAGCAAGTTGCCCGTGAGAATCCAGACCTCGTCTCCCGCAGCTCCATTGGCACCACTTTCGAAGGACGCACGATGTACCTCCTCAAGGTAATTGTTTGTAAGCACGACCGGGCCACATCCAGGGCTTTCAGTCAACGGAGGCCACCCCATCAACATCTGCTTCACAGAGGTGCTCTCCCCAAACATCGTTAACGCTCTTTGCTTGCCTACATCCTCCAGGGACTCAGCTCTCCCGGCTTCTTTTATCATACGTGGATTTTTAAACCGCTGTGTTGATTTATTCAAAAGGAGAAATGCAATAGGACGGTTGTCCTATAAATTTAACCACATTCCTCTAAGCAACATCAAGGATCATCGACCTTGATGAAAGGCTTTTCTCCCAGATGTTGTTTGCAAATCCATCTGCTAAAGAGGTTCATAAACTTCATGTCTATCAGACACCAATATAAAGCATATTAACCATTTCTTCCTGTCATCGTCTAATGCCATTCAGTCAGGTACTTCTAATGAAGGAAATAAAAAGATAAGGAATAAGGGGGAGAGAAGGAAAAATTCTTACAAGATTCGCCACAATCGCGGTTACTTCTAATTATGCATCCTGTTGCTTTGGTCATGTCACCTAATAAGAGCAGCTGGAAATAGCCTTCACATGAGGGCAATTAAGCAGGGTAATCAAGCATCTTCTGAAAATATGAGCTTGTCAAGCGTAATAAAAATAATAAACAGCCATGTAAGCCTTCAGCTCAAACACTGGGTGACTCGAGGCAAGAGCGTACTGTGCGAATATGACGCTTTCATTGAATCATGGGATCGATCTCTTCCGCTGTCGAGTTTCACCTGTCGAGTCCACAGCTCAGAAGCCTAGTGAATGTTAAACCCTAAGTGTGATGAGTCATCGTTTTCCTTTGTTTGCAATAGGTTGGCAAACCTGGACCCAACAAGCCTGCCATCTTCATGGACTGCGGCTTCCATGCCCGAGAGTGGATCTCCCCGGCCTTCTGCCAGTGGTTTGTGAGAGAGGTCAGTGTGTAAAGTGATTCGGGGCAGAGGGAAGTAGAAAGTGTTATTTCACTTCAATCCATTCCTTATCATCTAGCTATAATAAAAGAGAATAATAACAGAAAAAAAAAACAACATAATTTCAAGTTCCCATTTGGGGTATTAGTTTCACCTCCCACCAAGAGACCTGCATAAGGCAAGATTTAAAATAAAAACAGTGAGCAAACTGTATTTACCTGAATTTCACTCATCTGCATTTCCACACCCACCTTTGGTGGAGAGACTAATAGGTAATAGAGTGGGTAAAAGTTAATGATTGTGGATAAACACTAATTTGATCATTACCTCCTGGATAATAATCATTACGTGCTTCAGAATAAAAGAAAACAGTACAGAGTGGTCCCTACTGTAATTAGTACTGCTTTTATTCCTTAGTGATAAGATATATGTAAAAGTCCTTTACAAACTACAATTTTAAAATATCCATGAGCCCGTATTGATATAAATAGATGATTAAATAAGAAAATAAAAAAGGAAAGAAGGAGCAAGTCTTTCTTACAGAATTACATCCAACAGATGTACAATCAATTAGCAACATAGAAATTCACCATTAGAACCCCACAGTAATAATCATTTCAGGTAAATCAATGATGGGTGCAAAAATCAGGGAGTATGAGTTTAGAGAGAAATAGAATATTTGCAGTCTCAAAAGTATGTACCAAATTATCAATGCCAAATTTACAGAGGAGAAACCTAGCAGCAACTGCCTTAACCAAGCGATCAAGGTTGACATCACCAGTATGAGACATGACCAATACAATGTACCTCTGATGTTATGCACTGAAAAGACACATAATCTTTGCAGTATTCTTCCCCAAAATACATAACCCCTCTCTAATTATTTAAAAAATATCAGCCCAGCCAGTGTGGCTCAGTGAATTGAGCATCATCCCATGGACTGAGAGGTCCTGATAGGATTCCCGGTCAGGGCACATGCCCGGGTGCCAACTCGATCCCCAGAATGGGGCATGCACGAGGCAACCGATCGATGTTTCTGTCTCTCTCTCTCCTTTCTTTCTCTCGAAGAAAAATCAATAAAAACATGTTTTAAAAACAGAGAAGTCCAACTGAGGGACCTTCTGCAAAATAACCAGGCCAGTGCTATTCAACAGTAAGGTCAAAGTCACAGAGACAAAAAAAGGCTCAGGAACTGTCACAGATAAGAGGAGAGCACGCAGACATGACAGCCACAAGCGGTGTGGGGTCCTAGAACATAAAAGGACATTAGTAGAAGAACTGGTGAATCTAGTAATGCCTGTAGTTTATAGTATTGTACCGAAGTGTATCACTTTGATCACCATACCATGGTTATATTAATAGGAGCAGTAGGGAAAGGTGAGTGGAGGGTACAGGGGAACTCCTCATACTTGCAATTCTTCTATAAGTCTAAAGTTATTTCAAAATTCAAGATTTATAATATTAAAGTATTTTAAAATATAAGAAGCCCTGGCTGGTTACGCAGTGGTTAGAGCGTCGGTCCACAGACCAGAGAGTCATGGGTTCCATTCCCGGTCAAGGGCATAAACCTGGGTTGTGGGTTTGATCCCTGGTCCTGGCCAGGGTCCTGTGGGAGGCAGTCAATCAATGTGTCTCTCTCACATCGATGCTTCTCTCTCTCTCTCTTTCTCCCTCCTTTCCTCCCACTCTATTTTTAAAAAATCAGTATACATAAATATGAACAGTATTATATACAATATAATTTCTTTTCCGTGAAGCACTTCTGTGTCTACTTGTATGGGTTTGGTTTCTAGATGTGTTATGTATCCAACTGGCACCATTTGACTTCAGTGGATGTCGCAACATCTGTCCTCTCGAAGGAAAGATCTTCCATCATCACTTCGGTTATCTCCAGCCATAGGCCACTAAAAACACATGGTACCCTATCTCCCAGCCTCGAAAGCCCATGCTTTATCCCATGCTTTTATGACGAACATACATGCAGAGCATCACAAAGAGTATATACAAACTATTAATACATAGAAACCTTAATATCCCAAAGTCTACTTAAGCAAGCCAAGGGAAGAGTTAAGTTTAAGTTTAAAGTAATTCTTGGCTGAGGGATTGTGACTAAAAGAACATAATAAATGGGCATGGGGTCTTCATTCATAGAAAAGTGTCCACATTACTTGGCACGGAGAGCTAGTCCAGCCCCTTAACAGAGTTCCCTTCTCAAGAAAGAAGAGTAGGAAGAAGAGTCCCATCCTGTGCAGCTGAGAGCCTCAATGAGAGGCTCCCCAAAATTCATCAGTGCAAGCCCGATCTACAGTGGAAGAGTTTCTCGTTCTCCTTCCACGATGGACCCTCTGGAGAGACCATCTACAGGAGGTTTCATAGAAATTAAGTAAATTTCTAGATGATGTTAGGAGAAGTATGCATAGCCACCCATACTCATCCCTCACTTACTAAAATGGCCCGTACCCGTGTATCCTAACTTTGAAGGAAAGCTACTGTAGTTATTATTGCAAAGAAAGTGAGTCTATGTGTTCTTTTATTTTTTTAATTTTTTTTCTTTATTGACTTCAGAGAAGAAGGGAGAGGGAGAGAGAGATAGAAACATTAATTAGAGAGAACATCGACTGACCGTCTCCTGCATGCCCCCCACTGGGGATCAGGCCCACAACCTGGGCATGTGCTCTGACCGGGAATCAAACCAGCGACCTCTTTGTGCAGGGTCGATGTTCAGCCACTGAGCCACACCGGCCTGACGAGTCTATGTGTTCTTTAAAAGTCTTTAATTTCGGTACATCTTTGTTCATCTTTAAAGTAAAAAGTTAAAATAAAAATAATGATTATGTGGGCTACGTTGAGATGAAATAGAGTATCCTGGAAACAGAGAAGAATTAGAAACAACTATTTTAAACCAAACTATCAGTAATAGTTTGCTCACTGCTTTTTAAATATTAAAAATATTTACCTCAGAAAGGGACATTGCCTTCATTAGCAAAGTGAACATTCATCCAGTCTATGCTAATTTTAGCAGCGTCACGCACCTCAATTTTTTCCTGAAATTCTGCTTCGTAATCCACACACAGGCTGTCCGCACCTACGGGCGTGAGATCCACATGACAGAATTTCTCGAGAAGCTGGACTTCTACGTCTTGCCTGTGGTCAATATTGACGGCTACGTCTACACCTGGACCAAGGTAGATGAACCCATATTGAGAGGCACTAAGCAAATGAAGCCCAGCCACCTCCTCTGCTCCTTGTTCTAACCACAGAATCCACTTTCAGAACCGAATGTGGAGAAAGACCCGCTCCACCTACGCCGGAACGAAATGCTTCGGCACAGACCCCAACAGAAACTTCGATGCTGGTTGGTGCAGTAAGTATCGGGCTGACCACTTCGCCTGTATCTGCTGAGACGCATAGGAGGAACATTAACATAGGGAACACAATCGTGTCTAAAACGAAAACAAAAAAGTACAAGATTTCATAGTTTAGAGTCCTAACTTGTGAAAGCAGAGACAATCAAGTTTATTTCTTCAGTCAGTAAGAAGATACCGTGAGTTCTACTGTGTTCCCAGCTGTGCTAGGAGCCGCAAGCGTAAGACTGAATGCACCAGTCATAATCCTTCTCCTTGCGAAACGTACAGTCTAGAGGAGACCATCATCGAATGGTTATTTATTTATTTATTTACTTATTTATTTTTTATCCTCACCCGAGGACATTTTTCCATTTTTTGCACAGATAGAGTTGGAGGGAGAGAGAGGGAGAGAGAGAGAGAGAAACATCGACGTGAAGGGACACATCGAGTGGCTGCCACCCGCACGACCAACCAGGGCCGGGGACAAACTGCAACCGAGGTACATGCCCTTAGCGGGAACTGAACCCGGGTCTCTCCGGACCGCAGGCCGATGCTCTAACCACTGAGCCAAACCGGCCAGGGCATCGAATGGTTATTTAAATAAAATTGTAATTTTGTGACTTGACACTCAGAAAATGATTACAATAATATGAAAATTTCTTATAGAAATTACTTTGTCCCGTACTATTAATTTTCTTACACTATATTGATCTCACTGTATAACACTACTAAGGAAAACATTGCTGATTTCACATGCAACTTGTTACCAAGTCAGCTTAAAGTTGTTGTTTTTTTTTCTTTATTGTTTTTTTTAAAAAAGAGAGGAAGGGAGAGGGAGAAGGAGATAGAAACATCAATGAGAGAGAACATTGATTGGTGGCCTCCTGCATGCCCCCCTTAGGGATCGGGCCCACAGCCTGGGCATGTGTCCTGACCGGGAATCAAACCAGCGACCTCTTGGTGCATGGATCGACGCTCAGCCACTGAGCAACACCAGCCGGGTTACCCAGTCAGCTTAAAAACATATCACCCTGGTCTTGTGATGAAATGTATACATATTTTATAATGTATACATATGTGAGGATGGTTATAAGTACTCTGAAACCACTTATTTTAAAGTTTGAAACATGCCCTGTGAGAACTTAGTAGATGACCATTTGCCATTAACAACAATCTATGTTTTTCCAGAAATTGGAGCCTCTCGAAGCCCCTGTGATGAGACTTACTGTGGACCTTCTGCAGAGTCTGAAAAAGAGACCAAGGCCCTGGCTAATTTCATCCGCAAGAACCTGTCTTCCATCAAAGCATACCTGACCATCCATTCGTACTCCCAGATGATGCTGTATCCTTACTCCTACGACTACAAACTCACGGAGGACAACGTTGAGTTGGTAAGTCGTCATGACAGTAGATACTGTTCCACTGTTGAACATTTTTAAACTCTATTCCTGGGGAAAAAAAAAAGATAAGAACAATTTCTAGAAGTTCCATTGGTAATTTTTGGTGATAGAAGCAAAAAGCTTACAGCAGCTTTATAGGGAATCTAGAATTGGCTAAAGCAATGAGCTAAAGGAAATATGATTTTGATGCAGGAAATGGTTCCCAACATGTGATTTGTTCACTCATCTTCAAAATGATAGTCTTTCACCTCCTTCTGCTTTCCCGCCGTACTGACTCGCAAGATGACTGCAGAGGCATCTGGGATAATCAACAAAGTTCCTTCATCTCCTATATAATCCTATTCAGAAAGTCAGATTTTCCCAGATGCCTTGAGCTGGATTTGACATGGGCAGATGCCACTAGGAATGTTTGGTTCACACTGGGTTAAGTGATGAGATCCTGAAATTACTTATTTCACTGTTTGATGAGGTGAGACACAAAATGAGTCCTCACTAGGTATGGGAATAATGCAAAAAAATTTAATATCCCTGGATCAAAAAACTAACAATTTTGTTGGAGAATCAAGATATAACTACATGAAAAGCTAAAGTACATAATTAACAAATATCGCACATCAGTGCATATTATTTTTAAATAAGCAGTTTTGAATTCTTCAAACAATATATATTTTTTTTAATTTATGAAACATCTGGCCGCCAGAAGTTGGGATCAGCGATCCAAAAGAACAAGATTTAAAGCATTTGCGTTATGCCAAGAAAAAAAAAAAAAAGTATTCCACATAGACAATGACACAGATATTTGGCTTACCTAAATACATAAATTTGAAGACCCAGGAACTCGAACAAGTGGAAATTATTGTTTTGTACTTTCAGATTCAGTCTTTCAGAGACCAAATAAAACACGTCATGCTGTAAATATTTTCCGAAGAGCAAAATGGAAAAATAACTCAGCCTCTTAGACAAATTGATAGCTAATTGCTGGCAAAGTCCTTCTTTAAAGAAAAAAAAAAAAATGCTATTTTTCAGAAGGCTTCTCCTTTTCCCTGTCTGTAACCAAAACACGGAGAAAAACATCATTAGCTGGAACCATTAAGGATTTCGGTCTTTCGGTCATACTCACCCCAGGGGTGCTCAGGGCCCGGGATGGGTGTGGTCAGCTCCCCATTGCTGTCCTAGATTTCCAGCCACCAAGGGAGAGGTGATAGGGTGTGTTGTTTGCTTAATTCATGCGAATATGTTTCAATTGTACCACATCAGAAGAGAAAAGCGCCAAGCCATAATAACTAGGCACTAATAAGTTGACAAGTAAAACTAAAATATAAACCATACTGAGTGTAACAAGAACCAGGATATCTAGTTTGCTTAATAGCAACTAGTTTTAAACATAAACTCTAAAAGACGAATGCTTAAGGTACCTTTGGAATTGAACGGCTTCACAAAGTTTTAATACTTTTTCTCATTTTGAGAATAAATGTAAGCCCTTGGAGATGAAAACTTCGTCACTCTGTAGAATAATAACATAGTATCTGGGCTCCTCTAAAAGTCCGCAGATTATCCTTTAAAAAATAATTAAGTTCTGATGTTAGAATCTCCTGAATAAATGGTTGCTGCTTCCTACGGTAGTTTTGTCCAGGAAAAGACCCAAGGCTCAGAGTCAGTGGGTCAGTGGGTTAGTGGGTTAGTGGGTTAGTGGGTTAGTGGGCCAGTTCACACGCGCCCCGGGAGCCGTTCCCACAGAACGTCAGCCACCGTCCTCATGTCTAACCATCACACCTTCATCTGAAATCAAGGAAGGAGAGGTCATAGTAAAAAAGATATCAGGCCCTGGCCGGTGTGGCTCAGCGGTTAGAGCGTCGGCCTGCGGTCCTGAGAGACCCGGGTTCGGTTCCCGCTAAGGGCACGTACTTCGGTTGCAGTTTGTCCCCGGCCCTGGTGGGTTGTGCGGGTGGCAGCCACTCGATGTGTCCCTTTCCCATCGATGTTTCTCTCTCTCTCTCTCTTCCTCTCTCTCCCTCCCACTCTACCTGAACAAAAAATGGAAAAATGTCCTCGGGTGAGGATTAAAAAAAAAAAAAAAAGATATCAGGAATCCTGTCCTCCCAAATTGTTTTAAAATTCTAATTAGCTAAGAAGTGTAATAAACAGAATGATATCGAAGTAAAATATTCACAATCTAGTCTCAAAAAAAACACAAACCACAAATGAATCTTACCTTGGATGTTTATCTTTATATTCACAAAACTAATAAATTCAAGGAAAAGTACATGCTACTTCTTACCTTTTTCAGAGCATTATAAGATATAGGTGACCAAAACGCAAAATGTAATTGTACTTACATCACTTTATTAATTTAAAGGTCACTTTAATTTCCAATCATTTTTTCTATAATTAAACTTTTGCCTAGTATCTTAGAAGAAATAGTTCAATGCCACTAGTAAAATCTAAGGTAAATGTTATTTGATTATTTGATTCATTTGGGATCTGGATTTAGTTTGGCACTCCAGAGCAACTTTAAATCTTTGAATAATTAAGAATCTTTTCAACCTTTTTCTTATTTTTGTATAAATTCAATTCCTTTATGATCTAAGCACATTTTGCTAGAACAACTTATAACTAGAGAGTTATTGTGAAGACGTGTATAACCAAAAGAGAATTTGAGTCTCTCAAAAAGAAAAACATTAGCTTCTTTACGGTTTTCATTTGTAATGAGGCTATCAAGGAAAATGTAAGTCTTGATCTCAAAAGACAAATGTCCCCTCCAAATCTAGGACCTCTGTATTAATTCTCCGTTAGGAAAATGTGACCCACAATAGAAAACGAAAGGTAGGAACAAATTAGTAGGGTAAATTCTGGACATACCATGTCATAGATAAGTCAGAATTTTTTTAAAGAACTGCAAAGCAGATTTTGTCGTATACAACATTTGGCATGTGGGTGGTTCTAAGTTCTCTATACACTTATAAAGTTTATAAGATTATATTTGTTGCCCCCCCCCCCAAAAAAAAAAAAAAAAAAACACTTCACGGAGAAGGACTCCCGGCTGAAGGAAATTATTCTGTACTTGTTAGCATTCTCGGCCCAAATCTAGGACCTGTCATAAGTAGCAATCCGTTGATAGCTGAGTAACGATGAAGATATATGTGGCTTCATTTCTGAAAGATTGTACATGTCAGTTGCCTGACAGTCACTCATATCATGAGACAACCGTCAGAGGGAAGAAAGACAGAGATAGGGATGCAAAGGACCAATGAGGTAAAAAACATGGATTACAAGAAAGGCTACCAAAACATGTATCTTCAACAGATCAGTAAAAAAAAAAAAAAGTGCGAGGAATCCTAAGAGTATCTTACACTGATAACGCTTCCCAGTTCGCAAACCACTTCGAAAGCAAGAACAGAAAGTTCACTGAGGGTTTCCAGTGGTTTCGTAAACTGTCCAGTTCCTCAGTGTCGATATCTTCGATACAAAGCTAGTACTATCTTCAAAGGAAGGTTTAAGGCCCAGATAAAGAATATACTTACATTTTCAAAATTCTAAAGGGTAATGTAATACTGAGTTGTAGGACCGCTTTCTTGTCGCAGGAAATAAGAACTAGGAGACATCATTGCAAAGGCTCCCAAACCTCTTCATAGCTCTGCATTACTGAGTATGGAGAAGCTTTGGTACACCTTCCTCTCGAAGGGTCCTACAGGGCACTGTTAAGAATAATAATTATTATTACACCACTTCTAAGTTTATAAGCAGGGACCCAGAATAAGAACAGGTCAGCTAAGAATCTCGACTCACTGCCCAGACCGACCAAGTGGAAGGAAGCGGACGTGAGCCCACAGAGTCCACCCGGGCCAGGCGCCCAACACCTTCTTCACCAGAAGCACAGACTTGTACAGGCGGGAACCCCGGGATGTCTCGGTTTTCTCGTTTTCCCGCCGAGACAGTAAGGGCTTGGCAAAGTCAACGGCAGCAGTAGAGGCAGACTGTGGACTACAGCTATCGATCCTGAAGCATTTTGTTCGCTTCTGCAATTTTCGTACACACACCCGCAGACACACATGCACACACGCACGCACACACACGCACATGCACATGCACACACGCACACACACGCGCGCACACTGCTATGGCCCATGGTACCGCATGCAGCTGTTGTTCATCACAGGAAGTCCTTCGTGCCCCCACCCTGGGCTCTGCAGAGGGTGTGCACTGGTCAGCTCGGATGCCTGACCTCTCCGGGCCGTCTTTCTGATTAAACAGGAGGAAAATGACAGCCTGACTCAAAAATTATTAAACTTGAACAGAGGAGAGAAATCTTGTTCTCGAGTCGGACACCTTCCAGGCTGCGGTAGCTCACTCACCCTTAATTAAAGCTCCCGTTAATGAGCCGCCAAGATGGAAACACAGGGCTCCACCCACGCGTGTGAGCACAGAGCAAGGATCTGTGAGAGCGGAACAGGAGAGCAGAGGGAGGAAGCGCTCGCTGTGTTCGGAGGTGGACCCAGAGGGTCATGAGCACAGCCAGTCCCAGCAGTCACCGTGCCCCTGCCTGATGACCAGAGCAGCGAGGCCACAGCCCCGCTGACAGGCAGGCGACCCGCAGCCGAGGCAGACGGACTCGAAGCCCTGCCACTCAGGGCCATTCTCGGAATGTGTCATCTCGCTTCAAAGACAAAACACTCTCAAGCAACGACCGCAGAGTGTCTCGGGTTGGAGACCCCGGTCGCTGACTTTCCACCGTGCATTCTCGGTGACTTTCCGGGCCTGTTGGCAGTCCCCTCGAGGGCCTGGACAGTACGTGGCACATCAGGCAATGACCGGACATGTCATGGAGCCCGTCGAGGGTCCTGCGGTAGAGAATGTGGCATCTCACTGATGGACACAAGAGAAGGCCCGAGGGCAGTTGCCATCCAACCGGGGCAGCAGTAGGAGTTCAGGGCAGGGAAGCGGCGTGTGATGAAGCTGTTCAGTGAAGGTCACAGAGAGGAGACAGTTTGTTC